GGAGAATTTGTCCTTGATCCATTCTCCCCACTAGCTACTGGCTGATACACACAGCTTGTCTTATATCATGTATAATGATCCATGGACACGAAATAAATGGAATGGAAGAAGGCAAAGCATTTTCCTTTATAGTCAGTTAAGTAAACAGCGAGGCCAAGTTACTGACTGCTAACTAAACATTCCAGTCTTATCATGCATCTGCAGGCGGTTGCATGCAATGTAGGTGGCACCAGAGCAATGTATAGTGTGTTGCTACTTATCGTGTTCTAAAAGCCTGTTAACACACGAACGGTCCGCCATGTTTAAAAGCGAAAAACCTTTTAAAGGGTGCGCGGTCCGCAAAGTGTTAACACTCTTGGCATAATCTGCTTCAATCTGATGCTCCAAACATGAAGTTTGAAGTACTGACTATTCTTTCTCTATATCTTGGATAACTGAATGCTCATTCCCTTGATGTTTCTCCTACAGGGTGGGGTAGCAACAACACTGACCCAACCAATTGATGTCATCAAGACTAGGAGAATGAATGCCAGACCTGGAGAATTTAAGGTAAATGAACATATTCAACATTTTATGGCTTCATGTTTCCAAAATCATATTCATGCGGTATAAAGGCCTGATTAACTAAAGAACAGGCAGTTTTGTTTGTGTCTCCCCCCCCCCATGTCTTCAGTTGACTTTCCTATTTTCATGGCTTTTGTCCACCTGACCAAGTTTTCAGTCTTTAGTTGATTTTCACAAGTTTCTCACACACCATTTCCATCTATATGTGGTTGAACAAGCTACCTCCAATGTATACATTCCATCTATGGGTTATTTATTCAACATGTTCAAACTCTTAGTTGTCCATATTAGAATCTTCATAAAAAATGTGGTAATGGGATTTATATTGTAAACAGTGTGATGCCAGGCCTGCTGGACCCACACATGCTTTGACACAGCAGTGAGACATGTGGACAACAAAGGTTAAATGCAGCTTTGTCCGGAACATTTTTGGCATGTTCTGGATCAGCCTGATGCACTATAAGAGACCCTGAACAAAATTCTATACATTTGTTAGGATCATTTTCATCTGAAGCTTTCAGGGCAGCATTTGCTGAAGGTAAAAGAAAAAAAAAAGGTAAAGTTGTCCCTGTGCTTAATTAATTAAGTACTTGTACTATGCCATGAAGGCATACGGGGAGTGGATGTATAGATCCATATTTTGACCTCGGCACTAGTTGGAGGTGAGTGGTTAGCTTCATGCCCCTGCCACTTTACCCTCACGGAAAGAACCCTTGTACCTATTGGATAGGAGACTGGGTGGGCCCCAGAGCCTGTCTGGACATCATGAAGAAGAGAAAACTCTGACCCATCAGTTGTCCAGCCTGTATCCAGTCGCTATCCCAGCTCCTAGCATTTGCTGAAGACTGTGTCAGAATATTTCAAGTCCTTTAGAATCCCTTCTAATTGGCTTTGTAAGACTCTGAATAAAAACTTGTACAGCAGTGTTCAGATTTGTTTTCATTATCACACTACACCTACTTTTAAATCAGCAACAGTATCAGCTTCTTCAAATGTAGGGTATGCAGAATTCAGAATTGGCTACACTGAAATTATTACAAATTCTTTAAAAGGCTTTGAATAAAAAGCTTGCACAAATAATTTTAATATTCTCTTCAGTCATCACAGGCTTCAGGCTTACATTTATTTTTAAGCTCGCAACACCACAGTTTCCTCTGGCTGTTTATTCATGTTTTGGCTTTGTTCACAGTCATACATTCAGAAACTTAAAAATGTAATTACCTGTACAAAATTCTTGTTTGGCACCATTTCAGCAGGAAGTGTGATGTGCTTTTCCTAATTTCTATATATTCACTAGGGTGGAAACACAATATTTAATCAATGTGCTGTCAGCACAAGTGCAGTTAATGTTGATGGAAACAGCAGCATGACTGAAATATATGAAAAGTAAAATTAAAGGAAAGGAGTAAAATGACTATCACTTTGTATTATACCTGCTGTTTATGTTTTTGTTACAGAATATGTGGCATATAATTACCTACACAGCAAAATTGGGTCCACTTGGTTTCTTCAAGGTAATAAAACATTTGAAAAATGAATGTAGTATTGAAAATAATACAGGGTGGTGCGCAGAAACTTCCTTTTTTTGAAGGCGCATAAAAGAAAAATTATTGCAGATAGACAAAATTTATGTTTAGCTAATAAAAGAACATACTTTAAAGTTTTAAATCATGTAGTTTTAAACAAAATATCTTGAAGGTGGTGGCTACCATTCTCTATGAACTGATGCAACCGTTCTCTGAAGTTCCCCTCTGCACGTTCCAACATGTGCACCGGAATTTGGGCTACTTCCTGCCGAATAACATTCTTTAGCTGAAGCAGGTTTGTGGGGCGATGTTTAAAACCTCTGCTTGAGGTATCCCCATAAAAAAATCACAGGTGAGTGCGCTGCCCACAGGATGTCACCTGGAAGCGAGATGAGCTGTCCGCGGAACTTTGCCCTCAAAACTGTCATCGAAGCTCAGGCTGTGTGGGCCGTGAAACCATCCTGTTGGAACCAAACATTTCCTAGATGTATTTCTTCAAGAGCTGGTTCGAAAAAGATCTCAAAATCGACTGTTGAACTGCCTCCACATTTTCTGGCGTCGTAATGGTCCGTTGTCATCCTGATGATTTTTTCACCACACTCCCGGTTGTCCTAAAGTTCTCTACCCACAAAACAATCGATTTCCGGTCGGGAACCGGACCTCTGGGCTTCTGAAGTGAGCACAGAATGCACGCTGCACTGCCACATAGGAATGGTTGTTCGAAAAATAGGCTTCGACAGCAAACGCGCGCTGCTCACTCGTCCACCTCATGTTTCCTATCGAGGGATATTAGATAGAAACTTCCGCGACTGAGCAAACGCGCGAGCCTATCCCCACTTTTCTGCGACCTCCCCTCCCTTCACAATGCGTCTTCACAAAAAGGAAGTTTCTGTGCCCCACCCTGTATTAATAGGATGTTGTAATGTTCAGACAAATTAACCTTTGATAGCTGTGTGTCAGGACATCAAAATGTACGTTTTAAGGTCATCGCAGTAATAATATTCACATTCTCATCTTCTAGGCTATAACACTGTGTGGTCTTATAGGTGAAAACTGCCATTTTTCAGGAGTCCTGAAAACAGAGGCAGCATGTTTCTCTGAAAGTTTTGGTTCTGCCTACAAGGCTACTCAGTGTCACAAATCAAGGAAATTTACTACTTAGTGAATGCTCTCATTTAAATCCTTCCTGCACTCAAAACGAGCAAAAGCGTCACTTTTTGCGTGATGAGTGTAGCAGATTGACTTTTCATCATACCTCTCCTCTTTGTTATAAAAGATAAAACAACTCTGTCCAGTGTGACTGTTGAAGTTTTTACTACTTCAATTCTTAACACCCTTACATGTTTTGGTCCCTATAGACCATCACCTGAGGGACATCAATACTCTTTGGAAACCACTATTACGATGGGTGTTCTGAATGTTAAAATATATACACATTCAATATTTATAATGCATAATATATACAAAATCAAAAGTTTTCACAACTACAGCGGTTGTCTTGATATATTAAAGTTTTAAAAAACTGTTGTTATTTAAGTTAAAATTTATAAACCAAATAGGTTTGTGTCCCTTCTCTCATCGCCTTTTTTGACGGGGGCTGAACTTTTGCCACCTGTCTTTCTTGAGAAGGAGGTTCTGCAAATATATTATGGGTAGGCCTGCTAGTTCTGAACCCATGTTCTGTAGAAAATAATGGGGAACGTGTTTAGGTGGTTACATGTAAAGCCTTACCGACTGCAAATGTTGCAAGCCATCACATCCTCCCCAATCTCTGGACCCCTTCTTATGGTGATTCATGAAGTTGGAGGTTTATCAGGCCGTAACATATGTTAATGACTTGAACGGAATCACTGCAATTAATGCAATGCAATGTGTGCCAAGGAGTTAAATACTGCTGGGATCTCACTGGACCAGTACAACTGTAAGCTTTATGTGTTATATTACATATTATCACTAGATTACAAGGCTAGTTACTTTCTTTTCTGTTATACCAGCAAGACTTCAGAGTTCTGAGGCTACCTTTGAACATCAGTGACTAACTGTCCTAAGTTGACATACATAATCTCAGCACTGACAGCATTTTTAAATAACAGACAAAAAAATGTTCTAAGAAAAATGCATGTTTTCTTTCTTTCTTTCAGGGATACATTCTTCGATTCATTCGTCTTGCACCACATACAATACTAACATTTGTATTCTATGAACAACTTCGTCTAAATTTTGGCATCAAAGCATGTTCCTGATTTTATATATATATATGCATTAGTCTACACAACATCCAGTTGTCATTGCTCATTGTTACTAGATTCAGTCTGAGCCAAAATGCAGTTACAAAATATAACATACACGCTGCAGGCTCATCCAGAAAAATGTGGAAACAAAAGTAGAGGGACAGACCCTCGTATAATAACGTTATTCACCCTAGATCAACATACATTGATAATGGAGACAACAGAATATAAAAGTGTAATTTCTGGCATATCTTAGAAAGACCAAAAAACATTATATACAGATCCATAATACAGAATTCTGTAAGGTACCGGTAACTGAAACTGTATGGACATGCATGACCATTCATTTGAAAGTGAGGTTGCCATGATCTTGGCAATAGTACATTTTGTAATGAGACAAAAGCTGCAAAATTCTGAAGTTAATGCTACTCCCAAAGGATTACTCTGTGAAGTTAATGTTTGAAGAGGGTCCAATGGTAGACATGATAAATAACTATTGATCTCCCATGAAAGGTAATGGGATTAAGTAATAATTCTAGAACGGTTGTGTTCATGAACTTGTACGTCTGTGAAATCATATTTCTGGTTGCTCTGGATGACCCTGGAGATTAGAGTTCTGTGTAACAGAAGCATTTTCAGATTTGCAGCAATACTAAAATATAAACATTTATGTATTCAGTAGATCTGTGAAATGAAGTGTTTACGGAAAAGTTTTCATTCATTTATCTGTTTCTCAGCATACCTGTAACCACAATTATCCCTTAAGTTTCTGGGCCAGCATATCTGAAAGAACCATGCTTGACTAAGGCAATCACAGAAACAGGCCAACATAACCTGTATTGCAGTCATATTTTGACTTGCATTATCTTTGGTTATAAAATGTGAATCAGATTTCATGTTTCTGTGGAAACGTTATGCTACGTTAAATAGTTGGATCAAAATTTAATATAAACATAAAGAGGATTAGAACATAAAACTTGTAATGTACATAATAATAGATACACATCACATATTTTTTAACATTATTTAATTCCTGAAATATATCTTAAGAATTACTTAAATGTTAAAATCAGCGATGACACTGAACATTGATACAGTTCACTTGTATCCTTTCTTTATACAGAATGTAAGAGCATTGCTTAAATATGAAAGAAATTGTTTAATGACTGTAATTTACATCACCATTGTATATTTTTGCATTATTTTACTGTTCAGCGTTTTACCCTGATCATCCAATGTAAGGTAAACCTGAATATATACCACTAACTCCTGAAACCAACTTCAGAATACGTTCTGCCAGATACATGCATTTGGCTTCATTTACCACACTCCCTGCTAATACATGACCTCCATATTTACTTTGAAGATCCCATATATCATTGTAGTTCACAACCATCTCTAGGGGCTTAATGCTGTTATCATGGACAAAACACATACGTCCTAATACGAAGCCTGTGCTTAACAGCATAATATCCTTTTCCACGTCTTCAAGGCAACCTCTGTACCGGGTGTCAATTTCAAATACAATGAAGTCAATATGAGGGTTTGAAGACGAATTTATAACATCTTGCACACGTCTACACATGTGAATTAACAGTTTGTACTTGCTTTGCTTCCTACTGCAACTGTATAAGGCATCTGCCAGCTTTTCGCAGTATGTACCCGATGAAACGACCAGTATAGATAAACATAATTCCACATCTCTGATACCGTAACTCTTTAACATACCCGCCGTCGTATTAAATCGGAAATGAGAGGGTTAGGTGTAAGATTGCAACAGAACCCGTACTTCTCAGATGCTTCGTCCCTGAAGGTCCTGAATATCTGTTGAAAGGTGTTATTATTGTCAATTTCCGTACATCTAACCAACGAACAGTAAGCTGTATAAACTTCACTCCCGTTTGTTGTTATTTTTGGTAAGATTCTGGGTGATGTATGAAGACACTCTTCAGTAGACTATAGCTACCAGCTGCTTATCTAGCACCCCAAGAAAGTCAGCTTTAAGATACTTTTCAAGGCGTGTACAAAACAAGTAGTTTTACTTCTTCGAACTTATTTTCCCGGCAGACCGTAACCGGAAACAGCCCTTGGAAACTCAAAACTATTGGCGGGCAACATGGCCTCCGTGCGGTCATGGAAGCAGCACTGCTGTCACAATATTCGGAGGCAAGTCAATTGATACAAAATGGCTGATGCCAGTGCCGAGAGCACGGTCGGTAAAAGGGTATGCTATCATACCACCAGCTTGTGTTTACTGCAACGCCCCAGAGAATCACTAGTTCACAAGAATAGCTGTAAATATTTATGCAACCCTGACCTCTTGTACTCCATAGATTTTTACTCCTTTTTTTTTTTTCTGAACTGAGTTCAATACCACTTCACCCATATCCATCAGGAAGGGTGTGAGTGAAGTGATATCAAATTCATTAAAAAAAACACAACGGAGTAAGAACCTCTGCAGTTCAAGAGATCAGGTTGTAATATTATTTATCGAGAGAAAGTTTCTCACCAGTGCTTGTAAAGTATGAACATTTATTAATTTACATCAATTCAATGCCCCCTTACTTAAATGCAATGGACATTGTGAACTATTACATACAATACTTCTGTTCTGGAAAGCTGAAGGTAGGGAAACTTGAAATAAAATTCTGTTTCCAACAGATAATTGTAGTCAATTTCATAACTTTGGTCACAACTTACACTTGAAAGATACACAGAATATAGTTTTTCATTTACATTAATGTAATATGAATCATGTACAGCAAGCAATAATACTGAAATTTCCATTTATTATTTATTTCAGTAGTATGATGAAACCCGAGAATCTGAAATACACTCTTGTTAACAAGATTAGGATTCGCTCACTCACTCATGGAGCTGAGCCCTTCTTGAGAAGCTGCCAATTGTGCAGCTACCCAGAACTTCCCAGCATTTTATGGAATCCAAAGTACATTACTGTGTTCACAAGAGCCCTCCAATAGTCCTTATCATGAGCGAGATCAATCCAATCTGTACCATCCCATCCTATCTCTCTAAGATCCAATTTCATATTGTCCATCCACCCACATCTTGGTCTTCCTAGTGGTCTCTTTCCTTCTTGCTTTACCACCAATATCCTACATTCATTCCTCTTCTCTCCCATTCGCGCTACATTCCCTGCCCATCTCATCCTTCTTGCCTTGATGATTCTATTTATACTTGGAGAAGAGTACAACTTATGAAGCTCCTCATTATGCATTTTTCTCAAACCTCCTGTCACTTCATCTCTTTTTGGTCCAAATATTCTCCTCAGCACCCTGTTCTCAAGTCTATGTCCCTCCTTTAATGNTGTCTCCCTTTTAATTATGTTCCATGTCATTTTTATTTTATTATCTTATTATCTTATTATTATTGTGTTTATGTACAGCAGACGAGGAGACAAAAGGATAGCATGCCGTTTTAGCGATCGTGCTGTCGGAGCTGGTAGTCATTTAGTATTTAATTAGTAGAAGTCTGTGTAGAGATGGCAGCACTCGTGACGCACGGCGGCCATGTTGCCCACCAATAACGCAGTGTTTACCGAAAGTTGGGGGTAGTTGATGAAGAGGGAAGGAGAAGTAGGCTGTAATGATAGTAATTGAGGTAGAATTCTAACAGGGTTGTTCAGATGTGTTTGTTGTAATAAAATTTAGAAAGAGAAGCAATGCAGCTGAAGAGGTAAGTAATTCGGCTGTAGTTTTCTGTCTTTTTTTTTTATTGATACAGCAAAGTGATATGGCACTTGTACATATATCATTTTACTCCTTAAGATTTGTTATGTGCAGGTAACTTTGGTTTCCGGTGATTGCTGTTGATAAATTCACACAAGCAGAATCAGGCATGGCTTCCGAGACAGACTCCAATCCAATATGGTGTTGTTTGCCCAAGAAAATGGTTCTTCATATTATGGATGCTACTTTCATGACGTTGTTGCTAGTTGTTCAGGGTACTATCCTAAATTACTACTTAATCAGACAGTATAGTAACACCGTGTTCGCATATTTTTGGTTTCTTGCCGATTTTGTCTGCCTGTTTGCTTTCCTTGGTACCCTCACAATTGCTTATCAGTACCTAACAGCAAGTGAAGATGTTTCCATTCAAGACAGAGTGTATCGATATTCACCAAAGCAGGTGTTTGGAAGCAAGTTTCCCACATCAAAACTTGGTGTATTACCACTGAGTTATGTTTCATGGTTATTTTACACAGGGATTCTTCTTTCTAAAGTAATGATGATATTCAAGTCTGATATTCCAGATAAACTTATTAATCAAGAGGTGTTTGGTCCACAGCTTCTTCAAGTAACAATTGCAACATCTGGGATTATTTTCCTTTTGTTAGTGGAAGGTCACAACTGGGCACCACGTGACAGCCCTCGTTACACTTATGTAACATCATTGTGTGCCAAGACAGGAATTGAGATTCTTGACACTGTGAATCTTCTGGCATTACTACTAGTAAATGAAACCCAGATGATCCTAACATTTACACTGGAAAATGCAGTACTTATTCTTTGCTCCTTCAACTTCATTCTTCCAACTCTTGCAGTTTACAAACTTAGTTTATCTGATTTAATATCTGAACGCTTGTCTTTACCATTGAAAATTGTGTACAATCTTCTTCATTTATGTCTAATTGATATTCCATATCTTGCAGTACGGCTTTATCTTTGGTTCTATTATGGAAATAATGCATCTATCTTTCTCATGAAGAATGTGTTTGGCATTGTGTTTGTGCTGCGAGGGATTTATCCAGACTTTGAGGAACTAGTTAGAAGACACTGTTCTTTTGAGGAACCTCATCGAACTGGCAGTAATGGTTATTTGCCTGGCACAACCTCAGATGATCATATAGAAATGGAGACTCTCAATCCAAAGTCAACAACACCGCCAGAGAATAAAAGGGAACATTCTAAGAATGTCTAAAAAACTGACTTGAAACCTTCATAATGATTACATAAGCATATGAACAATATCTAAAGCAGTGGTTCTCAAACTTTTTGACATAATCCCTCTGCCATGGTTTTCACAAAACCATAATGCCCTCACCAGTATTTTTATTGAGATAAGTGTAACCCTTTCCATTCATAATTCATATTAGTTTTTGTGATTAACTAACCTATAATTAATACCACAGAAAAAGTGCGAGAAAAAAATTAAAATTTCTGGAAATGAAATTTTTGGCCTTCTTTTATTTGGTGACAAATGCCAATTAATGGAAAAGTAATTGTTGCAATTTTTTATTTCTGATTAACAGTTCTGAAGTGTGGGTATGAATGAGATGGTAAACGGCAGCTAAGAAGAATTTATTTCACCAGAATTTTACATTATAAATTGTTCTTCTCTTGGCTTCATGCTCCCTAGGTTGGGAACCACTGGTCCAAAGGATGAGTTTTATCTCTTGGAGCCATATTACCTATAAATGTGTACTAAGTTCTTCCATTCATTACGTGTATTGTAGCTTTGTTGTAATGGCAGTAAGTTTTGTAATCTTTTCTGATTTAAAACTGAAGAAATAAGACTATTTCTATTGCTTCCATTAAAGGTGTGATATTATGACAAATTAAATATAAGTAAAGGAGGTTGGGTGGAGAAGATGAATAAGGTGCCACAGACATGATTTTCTCATCATAACATATCTGTTGGTTTTCTTTTGTTGCCTATACTCTTTCTGTTTTACCTAATGCAATTAATATTAAAGGTAAAAAAAAGGGTGAAGTTGTCCCTGTGCTCAACTAATTAAGCACTACGCTATGATGATGTATGGGGGAGTGGATGTGTAGATCCACAAATGTAATTCATACTAACTACATAAATTGTAGCATTCTGTCATTTCAGACCAGTATTTTCAGCGCATAGGCTTGTATAATTATACTGTAGTTGATCTGGAAGAACTTCATGCCAAATGAATTTTTATATGAATTTTTTTATGTATTAATATTGTTAGTTGATTAACATGAATAGAGTACATGGATGTGAATTGGGCCACTTGAAAGTAAACTGTTTTAATTTGTGCTAATGAGTACCAAATGCGGTCATAGTGACATCAACAAAGACTTGAGACTTTGTAGCTGTAATATAATGTATTAGATAATGTTTGAGAAAGATGTACTAACTGTTAACATTTTTTTAAAACAAGTCTGAAATGCGGTGAATTGGATTTAAGTTTGGGTGAAAAGGATCATTGAAATTTGCAGCATATGCATAATAAGTCTCAAGAAAAACAACTTCATGGATTTATTTAAAGTAAGTGATGTTTAATTTGAGAGAAGGTATCTTACTGACACAAAAGACTTTCCTCTTCATACATAACACATGACTTTATCCTAAAACAATATAACTACATAACACGCGACAACCATCTTGCCACACCAGAAACTGCACAGCTTTCTGGGATACAAAAAGACAAGGAGACTACAGTTCAGTGAGTCAGTTCCACAACCAAAAGGAATATATAATAGTGATTGTGGAATGTTAGAATTGCTATACAACACCCTTCCTCAATTGTTCATTCCACCAATAACTTTGAGATCACACCAAACATAACACAGACTTAATTACTCAAATAAAGATTACAACTAATCAACTTCAATCATTCCTATTTTATTCTTTAGTTTTTAAAACCTAATGAGTTGTAATGGTTTGGTGAACAAGTCAGCCTCTTGATTTTCCGAATTTATATAGTTAACTACTATAAATCCTTGTTCAACCCAGTACCTTATACACTTATACCTAATGTCCATATGATGTAACCTTTTTTTGACCCCATTCACCAGTAACCAGTACTGACTCCACAGTCAGTATCTGTTGTCAGCATATCCTAACAGTACACATTTCTTGCTTCTACTATCAAACTTACAATTTACCTGTATCTTAGGTTTGCATACATAAGCCATGCACCCAAATACTCATTGTTTCTTATATTTTGGTTTTATACCATACCACCTTTCTGCAGGCACAGTATTATCTGGTAAGGCCCATGTCAGACATCTGTTAATTAAGTATACAGCTGTCAAAACAGTTTCTACCCAAAAATGTTATGGCAAATTTTAATCTAACAACATACACTGTGCCTTATCTAATATTGTTCTGTTTAGTCTGTCTGCCACCCCATTTTGTTCAGGTGTGTAGGAAATGGTCAACTCATACACTTCCTTTGCTCCTAAAATAATCCTTGATTTCCTCTGACAAATATTCTTTTCCATTGTCACATCTGAATGAACAAATTCTAGTTCCAAATCTAGCTGTTGCCGTTTCCACATATAATTTGATATACTGCAAAACATCTGCTATTGATTTCATTGGAAATGCTACAGAAAAATGTGTATAGTCCTCTAGTAGGGTGAGAATATATCTATTTCCATTATAAGACACAGGGTCTGTTGGACCTGCTACATTACTGTGAATCCTTTCAAGGAGTCTACTAGCTTTAACTTTAGTCTGGTTATGAGACGCTCAAGTTTGTTTACCACTAACGCATATTTCAGTTTCATCATTGTTCACATTCATTCCATCAACAAATCTAGATAACTGCATCAGTTGATCGTGTCCTACATGTCCCATTCTTAAATGCTATATTTTACTGTTGTTTACATTAACAGCAGAGTAAGCCTCACATTCATCTACTTCCTTTATAGTCATACTCAGTTTATACAAATTTCCATCTCGGTCTGCAGTTCCAACAACTGTATTATTTTTTATTTTCTCTTCTTTACCATTTTCTATATTTCTAACGAAACCCATCCTGTCTAGATTAGACACTGATAATAAGTTGTAAGTCAAGTCTTTGGCTAAGAACACATCTGAAATTTTAATGTTCCTTATCTCTCCATTCACACAGAACTCTACTCTTATATCTCCCTTTGCATATGCCATTAAATAACTATCATTTATAGCAATATGAATCTTTGTTGGAACAGGCAACTCATATCTGTTTATCACATATGTATCTTCCTTAACTAGATGATCCATAGCTCCAGAGTCTAATACCTATGTTAAATTGTGGTTTGCACTTAAATACACTTCACCATTATCAGTCCTAGCAACAAATGTGTAGGGATTGCCAGCCTGTGCTTCACTCGAGACCTTTTCTGTACACTGAGCACTTCCTTCTTGAGTCCTCCAATTTGGATGGGGTTTAATTCCATTCTGGTGACTTCCATCGAGCCGTTGTCCCACATAATTACTTCCATTGTTGTGCCTGCCATGTTGATTTCCACTATGGTTACCTCCACGATAATTACCACTGTACTGAACTGGTTTCCTGCAATTACTTCTTTTATGTCCTCTAATCCTACAATTATGACAATTGAATGAAAAAGGTGATGCCACTTCCTCCTCCTTCCACTTTGATTGCTGATAGTTCTTGTGAGAGTTCAATGCGGGAACTGTATCAGTGTTCAATTTTGGTTTCATAACACCCCTTTTGTTCATTCTTTTCATCTCCTCTTCTAATAATTGACCCTTCACCATGGCAAGTTTTTTACTTTTTTCTGGTAATGTTGTCAATGCTGTTATTATTATTTCATATTCAGCAGACATGCTGAGATACAAGTGGCATACTTTGTCTGTTTCACCCGTAATACAACCAGTCCCTTCCAATTCTCGTATTATTTTGTCAAATTTAAAAAAATGTTCACTTAGTGTCTGTAAAGATGGTTCATGCTTCAAATTTAATAACTCTGTCTTCAGCATTACTCTACTAGTCATACCTTTCGTCTCAAAAACATCTTGTAGACTTTTCCAGACATCTTAAGCAGTCTCCTGTCCTTTCACATATTCCAATTGGGCATCTTGTATTCATTGTACTATTCTACTTTTACACTTCTTATCATTCCGAATTAATCCATTCCTTGCTGTTCGCACAGCGGCTTCAGCAGCAGCTTCCACATTCTCCAGTTCCANGGATACAAAAAGACAAGGAGACTACAGTTCAGTGAGTCAGTTCCACAACCAAAAGGAATATATAATAGTGATTGTGGAATGTTAGAATTGCTATACAACACCCTTCCTCAATTGTTCATTCCACCAATAACTTTGAGATCACACCAAACATAACACAGACTTAATTACTCAAATAAAGATTACAACTAATCAACTTCAATCATTCCTATTTTATTCTTTAGTTTTTAAAACCTAATGAGTTGTAATGGTTTGGTGAACAAGTCAGCCTCTTGATTTTCCGAATTTATATAGTTAACTACTATAAATCCTTGTTCAACCCAGTACCTTATACACTTATACCTAATGTCCATATGATGTAACCTTTTTTTGACCCCATTCACCAGTAACCAGTACTGACTCCACAGTCAGTATCTGTTGTCAGCATATCCTAACAGTACACATTTCTTGCTTCTACTATCAAACTTACAATTTACCTGTATCTTAGGTTTGCATACATAAGCCATGCACCCAAATACTCATTGTTTCTTATATTTTGGTTTTATACCATACCACCTTTCTGCAGGCACAGTATTATCTGGTAAGGCCCATGTCAGACATCTGTTAATTAAGTATACAGCTGTCAAAACAGTTTCTACCCAAAAATGTTATGGCAAATTTTAATCTAACAACATACACTGTGCCTTATCTAATATTGTTCTGTTTAGTCTGTCTGCCACCCCATTTTGTTCAGGTGTGTAGGAAATGGTCAACTCATACACTTCCTTTGCTCCTAAAATAATCCTTGATTTCCTCTGACAAATATTCTTTTCCATTGTCACATCTGAATGAACAAATTCTAGTTCCAAATCTAGCTGTTGCCGTTTCCACATATAATTTGATATACTGCAAAACATCTGCTATTGATTTCATTGGAAATGCTACAGAAAAATGTGTATAGTCCTCTAGTAGGGTGAGAATATATCTATTTCCATTATAAGACACAGGGTCTGTTGGACCTGCTACATTACTGTGAATCCTTTCAAGGAGTCTACTAGCTTTAACTTTAGTCTGGTTATGAGACGCTCAAGTTTGTTTACCACTAACGCATATTTCAGTTTCATCATTGTTCACATTCATTCCATCAACAAATCTAGATAACTGCATCAGTTGATCGTGTCCTACATGTCCCATTCTTAAATGCTATATTTTACTGTTGTTTACATTAACAGCAGAGTAAGCCTCACATTCATCTACTTCCTTTATAGTCATACTCAGGTTATACAAATTTCCATCTCGGTCTGCAGTTCCAACAACTGTATTATTTTTTATTTTTTCTTCTTTACCATTTTCTATATTTCTAACGAAACCCATCCTGTCTAGATTAGACACTGATAATAAGTTGTAAGTCAAGTCTTTGGCTAAGAACACATCTGAAATTTTAATGTTCCTTATCTCTCCATTCACACAGAACTCTACTCTTATATCTCCCTTTGCATATGCCATTAAATAACTATCATTTATAGCAATATGAATCTTTGTTGGAACAGGCAACTCATATCTGTTTATCACATATGTATCTTCCTTAACTAGATGATCCATAGCTCCAGAGTCTAATACCTATGTTAAATTGTGGTTTGCACTTAAATACACTTCACCATTATGAGTCCTAGCAACAAATGTGTAGGGATTGCCAGCCTGTGCTTCACTCGAGACCTTTTCTGTACACTGAGCACTTCCTTCTTGAGTCCTCCAATTTGGATGGGGTTTAATTCCATTCTGGTGACTTCCATCGAGCCGTTGTCCCACATAATTACTTCCATTGTTGTGCCTGCCATGTTGATTTCCACTATGGTTACCTCCACGATAATTACCACTGTACTGAACTGGTTTCCTGCAATTACTTCTTTTATGTCCTCTAATCCTACAATTATGACAATTGAATGAAAAAGGTGATGCCACTTCCTCCTCCTTCCACTTTGATTGCTGATAGTTCTTGTGAGAGTTCAATGCGGGAACTGTATCAGTGTTCAATTTTGGTTTCATAACACCCCTTTTGTTCATTCTTTTCATCTCCTCTTCTAATAATTGACCCTTCACCATGGCAAGTTTTTTACTTTTTTCTGGTAATGTTGTCAATGCTGTTATTATTATTTCATATTCAGCAGACATGCTGAGATACAAGTGGCATACTTTGTCTGTTTCACCCGTAATACAACCAGTCCCTTCCAATTCTCGTATTATTTTGTCAAATTTAAAAAAATGTTCACTTAGTGTCTGTAAAGATGGTTCATGCTTCAAATTTAATAACTCTGTCTTCAGCATTACTCTACTAGTCATACCTTTCGTCTCAAAAACATCTTGTAGACTTTTCCAGACATCTTAAGCAGTCTCCTGTCCTTTCACATATTCCAATTGGGCATCTTGTATTCATTGTACTATTCTACTTTTACACTTCTTATCATTCCGAATTAATCCATTCCTTGCTGTTCGCACAGCGGCTTCAGCAGCAGCTTCCACATTCTCCAGTTCCAGATATTCCTCCATCAATTTACTTAGCGGAGTTTCAGTATGTCTTAATAAACCCAACTCGTCCAAATATACTGTCATACGGAATTTCCAGTCCAGATAATTGTTTCCATGAAACAATGGGATCCTGTATTTCTCTTCTTCCATGTTGAATAAAATCCAATCCAACGTGTTGTCCTTGTTATTTTTGTTACTTCTGCGTGGATCGAATGATAAGTAAGAATCAGTGTTGACTGTTCTGTTACTTCTCTTCACATAATGGAATATAGTTCTTGGAACTTCAATCTCCTCTGTTATTAGGTACCCATGTTCCTTTGAATACGTCATTTCCTCCTCTGGATCTTCTGAAAAGGGGTTGTCAGGGTTCATACACCTAAGCATGTATGTTTTCTCCTCTTCTGTGGTAATTTTGGTTTCTTTTAAGGGAACCTCCATGAGGTGGCAGTTGGATACATTCCATGGTGTCCATCCACCATCTGATAAGAGTAGCACATCTTCAGATTTATCTTTTCTCTTGTTGTAATCCTTTTTTATTCTCCATAGCCTCCTTACATTGTCCACCCCTATCCTGAGTCTTGCCTTGGCCCCTATGTGATTAATAGTCAAGGTACTCAAAGCGGTTGCTGTTCCTTTTGAAATAGAGAAGTCATCTGGCGGGTTCTTTCCTTGTGGCCTAAGGAACTTGTTTCTACTCTGAACTGTGACAAATCCTAAATCCATATACCACGATGTGTATTCTCCTATCCCCTCTTTGAAGATGAATGTCTTATCTAGGCTGAGGTTTATATCTATCATCTCGAGATTTTTCCTGTTTGCCTCAATGCATAACCTGTTGTTTGAAGCACTATTTGATAAGTATAATGACATAGAATCATCATTTAACCTTAAAGTAACTACTCTCGTTTGTTCTTGGTCTATCCTATGATTGACAGCAAGAAGACCCAAAGTTGTAGATCCAGCATTCAACATGCCCATTAGCATTCTGGGACTTGCTCTAAGGTGCCTCCTATCCTTTGTTACGAGGTGTTTGACATCATTGTACCATGTCTTAGTCTTCAGGGATGTGTTTTGGGTATCATCATCATTCCATTTGATTCTTCTGAATGTGTCTTCATTGGATATCACAACACCGGGTCCTATTTGTACTGTCTTCATTGACATGATGAAGTTCCCAGATACTGCTATTTTCTGGAATAATTCACCATTTTGGCTTGGAGCAGGAAGTCTCAGTTTGGATCTTGTGGCTTTATCAAATAGGTAGTAATGCATTAGAGCAAAGGATGATGGGGAGAGACATTCATTCCATTTTGTGGCATCCGCTGTACCTTGAGACACGTGTGAAGGAGTTCTACCACTTAGTGTTGCACCATTGAAGTTGTTTAGAATTTTGGTCTTCTTTTCCTTACCCCCTATAGATATAGTTGACCCTTGGATTTCCTTCCCTAGTTCTAGGTGGAACGACTCTTTTGATATTGTGACGTGTTGCACTATGGAGGACACCCCCTCACCCCACCAGCGGTGAAATAACACTTTCGGAGCGTTGCCATTGCTACGGTAATAGGCAGGTCAAGACAAGACCCCGCCCCTTTCCCTGCTGATGCAATTGCGCGTCTCTCTAATTTTCCCCTCTCTTTATGCTTCATGTATGATGTGACCCTTGATATTGTCTCCAACAAATACTCTATACATGAGTCCTTACCTTCTATTTTCTTTCCCACCACCTTCTTTGTTGTTTTGGAGATGTCAACATATTGTTTTTTCTTTTGCAATATTTCTTTCTTTTTGATGTCACCTCTCTTACTTCTTTTGTGGCACTCTCTTCTTTTTCCATCATAGAAAAGATGCTTTGGATCCACTCAACACAGCTCATTGTTTTTGGAACACCGTTTGTGATTAAAAACTTGTAAAATTCTCTATATTCTATGGCAGAAGTAGTGCTCCTTTCTGTGAACGGGCAATAAGTTTGTCTTCCTTTTGTCAAAATGTCTGAATTCCCATGTAAAGCCTTCTCCATGATTCTCTTCACTGTATTATCTATCAGCGCACAGTTTTCTTTTAGAAACTTCTCCACCATAACCACCATTTCCAAAGGAATATAATTTCCATGAACTTCACCAAAAGGAAATGGTCTGTCTTTCCTCTGCCAGTGGAGCCTTCTATCTTAACTCCGAGTATCTCTTTTTCTCTATCNCTTCCTCCTCCTTCCACTTTGATTGCTGATAGTTCTTGTGAGAGTTCAATGCGGGAACTGTATCAGTGTTCAATTTTGGTTTCATAACACCCCTTTTGTTCATTCTNAATGGTCTGTCTTTCCTCTGCCAGTGGAGCCTTCTATCCTAACTCCGAGTATCTCTTTTTCTCTATCTCTCTTTTTATTGAATATATATGCTCTGCTAATTGTTTCAGCCACTTTAGGTGCTTGGGAAACCATATGCATGTGGTGGTGTATTTGTATAAAGATAAAGTGCGCTTACCATG